GGGCGGCAGGTGCAGCCGACCCTTTGGTCTGGTTGTTTGGCATTACTCCACAGTGGAGCTCTGCCTGTGCAGACTGATTCTGAGCCCCAGGAATACATCACAACCACCTTCGCCCTCCACCTAGCCATAGTCAGATGACTAGAATGCCACCACCCACAGCCACCGCACTGGATATGCTGTCGTCTTTGTGAGCAGTGTGCCTGCTGGTGTGCCCACAGGTGTGCAGTGCTGGCTGCAAGGTCATGCATGGGAGCCCTGCCAGGGCACCAGCTGGAAGAGCCAGCACAAGCAAATAAGTCATCTGAAGTCCCTGGCAAGTGACTTGAGCAAGTAGAGAGAAAGAGGTTATTGTATTGAACAGCCTATATTCAAGGGCCGTGTCTTCTTAGAGAGCTGGTCTTGGGCAAGCCAGTTGATGCCTGTGAGCCTGGACATGCACTCCTGTAACTCTCCCTACTTCACAGGATGATGAACATTAGATGAGATTATAGATGAAGGAAATGGTTTACAAATAAATAGGTTTTATTTTAATAATAAAGGGGAAGCTAATGGAAGGGGAGGAATGGTCCCACCTGCCTTACGTGGTGACTGGGTAAGGAGTAATAAGGCATTTACTAAAGAGCATGCTATTCAACTTGTTATGGCACCAGTGGGGGTGGGGATTTCTCCTTTCCCTTCCAGCTGCCCCCGTGTGTAATGGCTCATAAACAGCAGCCCAGGGTGCACTTGCCCATCTCTCTGCAAGGAATGGCGTCCCTAACTCCCCTAAAGACTCCACCCTCACCTCTTTCCTGACATCCCACCACAGAGCAAAGGCAAGGACATACTGAGGTCACAAGGTCAATGGAGAACACTTAAACCTCTCTGTTCTGTTTGCTACAATGAAAACTGTGCACCATCACCCTCAGACCCCAAAGACTCTCAAATGGCAAGCTCAGGGGGAACAAACTGCACATGAAGACCAGAGTGGGGGCGGGAGAATCGCTGTGGAAAAGACAAATCAATTGAAGGCTTAGGAAATGTTCCCTCTAAGCGTTTGAAAGCAGTAGTTAGATATGTTATATCAGCCTAGAAAGAAGGAAGATAGACTCAAAAAGCAGAGTGTCCTTTTACATTTAAGTCCCCAGTTATAATGAACTCAATAGTTCATAAAACACTACTTTTTTTTTTAAAGCTGAAGTTCATATAACACAAAATTAACCATTTTAAAGGCAAGAATCCAGTGGCATTTAGTACATTGTTGAACAACTGCCAACTCTATCTGGTTCCACAGTATCTGGAAGTATTCCTTAGGCTAGAATTTTACATGCAGAAACTACAGCATAGAAGCATAATGTTCTAATTAGACCAGATATCCTTCCAAATGACCTTCTGGACGAAGCTGGGGCTGTGAGGGAAGCCCAGGTCCTGGGTGCCTGCTGGTGGCTGGAGGGAAGCCTGGATCCCAGGTGCCAGAGGGAAGCTGGTGCCAGCAGCCGGGGGAAGGAAGGCTACTCTTGCATGAATTTTCTGCATCAGGCCTCTAGTTTAAAAATATTAGAAAATTTTCTTAGACTTTTCATCAAATTTGGACTTAACTCCCAGATTGTATGTGAGCACTCAATTGGATTATTGCTTTCTACTTATCTTCGGTGTTTAAGAATGGGCCAATGGACTTATCTTTGGAGTTTAAGAATGGGCCAATTTAAATATGTTTTCACACTTGACCAGGTGGGTGGGAGAGGTGATTATGGATTTCTACAGACCAGTGAAACCCTGTGTGTGTATATATATATATATGTGTGTATGTGTGTGTGTGTGTGTGTGTGTGTGTGTGTGTGTGTGTGTGTGTGTGTTGGTAGAGTGTTTAAACAATCCAATAAAAAGTTGAATGCTATTCCAGACTTAGGCATTTCTCCCACACAGGGTGGCACAGGCAGAATGATCAAGGGTGTAACTAATAAACATCCACCTAAATGCAAAATCAAATATAGCCTCTCAAATCTCCACCAAATTTCTCCTACAAACTGACAAAGTTGGCTTAAGCGAAAAATGAGCTTCTTAAACATTGAGGTCAGATGGATGTGGAAAATCTGATTCCCTTTTGCTGGTGGGAGTGAATGTTCTGCTGCTGTTGTGAACAAAGAGGGAGGTCTCTGGCTCATCGTTTCTATGCCTGCTGTGGGGTCATCCATGCACACGTCCCATGGCTACAGAGCTAAGGGATAGGCTGATTAGGAAACCAAGCCCAGATTGCATCTTGCCGCCTCCACTCTTACTTCTAGCCTCTTAGACTTGGTCCTGCATCTCTACCCCTGTTCTGAGCTGGACTTTGCAAATGGCTTGGACTGACTCTCTAAATCGCCTCTCCCTGGCTGGGCCAATATAGGCATGTTTCGTGTGTTACCTTAGAGCCATAGCCACACAGAACCCAGAAAAGTTTTCCTGAACACTGTGGCAGCAATCTGCTCTTTTGCCATTTCTCTTTTTTGCTAATTCTCAAATAGTAAGATAAGTCTGAGGCAGGATCCTGTCTCAGGTGCTTGAGAAGTAACTGCTTCATGATTTATGAGCATTCCATCTACAGGAGGAATCGATAGAGAGAAGGAAAAGGAGAGAACAATCCAATAAGTAACTTTAGGCCCACAGCACATTATTACTTTTCTGGAGTTTCTTTATACATAGTAGGCGCTCAATATATATCTGTGATTTTTATTGGATGAGGGTATTTTTTCTTCTCTGGTCATCTCTAAGGAACATTGGCCTTGCTATATGATCAAATAATTATAGCATTCGGTGCCTGCTATTCAACTCAAATAAACAGTTATTTTTAAATAGCCTTCAATTTTTGCAGTGATTTGCAGGGTTCCTGTCCTGCCCTTTCAGCGTTTGCTGACCATTATTCATGTGACCTCATATGGCCCATCCGGTGCAGGGGTTCCCAAATTCTAGATTCATATATAACCTTATTTTTAAATGCAGATTCCTAAGTTCCCTACCCACAATGCCCTTTAGGTCTAAAAAGAGATCTGGTAAACTATATTTTAACAAGCCCTCTGGGTAATTCAGGTGCAGGTAATCCGTCAAACATATTTTGGAAAATAATCCATAGTTGACCCTGCCCTCGCCTCTGAGACCAGCCTTAGTTAGGGCAAAGAGAAGATGAAGAACCAACCATCTGTAAATTGCTAGTGCAGTAATGCCACTCCTGTCCTGGGGCATGGTCTTGTTTGATTAGTCAGTTTTGTGTTCTTTCCACTTCATGTCCAGGATCCAGGCTTGGATGTCGATAGCTGAGTCCATGATCTTCCTGGAGGTGGAGAACTGTCCATTACTAAGTCCCCTATTTAATGTTCTGCCTGCCCACCAGGTCCTCCAGCCATGGCCAAGCTCCGCCGGCATGCTTTTTGGATTCTTCCTGTGGCTACTGTTTACAGTCTTCCTTTCCCCTACTGTGCCCATGTGGCTTTGCTGGATGCCTTATCCCAGCACTAATGCCTCACTCCTGGTTACAGTCAGCCCTGGCTGTGGATGCTGACTGTATTTATCCAGAATTAGCCCAGGATAATAGGATAATCACTAGGCTGGCTACCCTTCAAAGATCATGCTCACTTGGTCTGAATCAAATGCAGATTAAAATAAAAATGTTTTTCCTTAGCCTTTGGGCTGATACACTGAGTTGGAGTTAGAACACCCTTATCTCAAAAGAGCCCTCTCTGAGCCCTCCTTGACCATATAAAATAACGGAGACCAAGGTAGAGTTCCTCCATTCAAGTTCCTTGCAAAAGGAGACATTGGAATCATTTAATACTTACTGTTTTGTAATTTACCTTTGCACTCAGAGTATATTATAAACACCCTTCTATGTTATAAACTCTATGTTCATAGAGTTCTAGAATGAAATTGATACATCCTTTGAATAAAGATATCATAAAATATGGCAATGCCCCCCTTTGCTAGGCACTTAGGTTGTTATACCAGCTCTTTACTGAAAAAACAGGCTCAGCAGACATATTCTGTTAAATCTTTAGTACATTCTTCATTATTTCCTAAAGGCTAATTCCCAGAAGAAAAATTGCCAACTCAAAAGTTTTATATATTTTTTTAAGGCTTTTAATACATATTGCCAGAATAACTTTCGAAGAAGTGTCGGATCAATTTTCACACCCATCAGCACCATGTGGGTATTTTCCCACACCCTCGCATAAAACTGAGCATGTTTTCTGTTGCCAATTTAATAGTAAGAAAACGATATCTTGCTCATATTTTGAATTGTTTTTAGTTACCAGTGAGGCTGATAGTAGCATCACATGCAATGATATCATACTTCTTTCATTTATAGCTGGGTACATCTGGGGCTTAAAAATCATACAACTGCCTGGTTGGCATGGCTCAGTGGTTGAGCATCCACCTATGAACCAGAATATCATGGTTGGATTCCTGGTCAGTGTACATGCCCGGATTGTGGGTTTAATCACCAGTAGAGAGCGTGCAGGAGGCAGCTGATCAATGATTCTCTCATCATTGATGTTGTTATCTCTCCTTCTCCCTTCCTCTTTAAAATCGATACTTTTTTTTAATTGTACTATTAACTTTTGAAAAGCACTTATTTTGTTTGAGAGCTTATATGTTTTCGATATTTCAAGATCCAATATGTCATTTTTCTGTATCATAAACAAACCAAAAAAATCTTAAGAATGGAACAACTTTTGTTGTATTATATAAACTTCAGGAATTTGCTACAAAATTCTGTAGTTTGAATGTATAAAATGATATTCAATCTCATTTCTCAGTATGTGAAGAACTTATTATAATTATAGTAAGTTCATCTAATTTTACTTATTAAATAATTCCTGGGGAGGGGGTGCAGGGGAAGTAGCCATTGCCATTAAACAAGAAAACTGGTGGCACAATGTTCATTGTAACCTATTTGTCATATTTATTGAGTGACTTCATGATACAAATACTAACATGAACTTTCTTGATGACACACTAACCTGAACTTTCTTGTTGATACACAGGGACTATTAGGGGAAAAATATGGGAACATCCGGATCCCCGGAGAAGTGGAGGCCTCCGAGTTTGAGATGATTTTGGACGCTGCCATAGAGGCAAAGCTAGAGACCAAGTTAATGGAAGAGTGGTACTGTCGAGATGAGAACTCGGTGCCAGCAGCTTATTACCTCCGACCCAAGTCAGAAATGCTGAAAGGCAATAAAAATGCAGTAAGTTGCCCTTGCTTTAAACTGCTTGTGTCGTCCAGGACTGGTGGACTCAATGTCATTCTGTGTTGAGCCTTAAATTTCCTTTTAACAACAAAATCCAAAGCTAAGAAACCTTCTAATTTCTTTTTTATCATCATGTAAGGATAGTTTATTGATTTGAGAAAGAGAGAGAGAGAGATGAGACACATCGATCTGTTGCTTCCTGTTTGCTCCCCAACCAGGAGTCAAACCCACAACCTAGGGGTGTGACCTGACTGGGAATCAAACCTGCAACCTTTCGGTGAACTGGATGACACCCCAATCAACTGAGCCACCCGGCCAGGGCAGAAACCTTCCCATTTTTGACTCGCTTTTCTCTTTAGCAGCTCAGGCTTTCCTTCTGAGGTCACTTCCTTCTTCCTGAAGTATAGCTTTTGGAAGTTCCACTAATAAAGATCAACTAAGAGATACATTTTCTCAGTGTTTGTTTCTCTGAAAATATTCTTATTTTTCCCATTTTGCTATATGTCTATTTATTCTGATTAATATGTGTCATGCTTCTTATGTTTGTAAATTCATGTATTCTATCATTTATGGAAAGTTCTCAGCCATCATTTCATCAAATAATCTTTTCTCTATTTCCTCTTTTCTTTCCTTTTTGTTCTTTTATTAGATGGACATTAGACCATCTCAGTCTGTCTTCCATGTCTCTTAATCCTCTTTCACATTATCAATTTTCTTACCTCTCTGCTTCTTTCCAGAAGATTATTTTAGATCTTTCTTCCAGTTTGTGTATTTTTCTTCTTCAGCTGTATTCACTCTGTCCATACAGTGAGTTTTCAAGTTCAACAGTTGTACTTTCAATTTTATGAAAGAATTTTTTTGTTTTTTATTTTTTTATTTTTTTGTTTTTTTATTTTGTTTGTTTGTTTGATTGATTGATTGCTGGGATGGTATTTTTAAATGTATTTTTATAGTTTCCTATTTTTTAATTCAATATTTTCCTTTAACATTTTACATAAATTTACTTTATGTTCTTAAACCTTAAGCATCTTGAAAAGGTTGATTCACACATGAGTGTGATGGAAACATCGCTGTCCCCTCTCCAACTTGATTCCTCCTAATTGTATCCAAGATGTTTCTCCTAAAACTGAATGAAGGAGGAAAAAAAAATGGGTGGGTCTCTGCATTGCAGGAGAGACTGGTAAGAAGGCACAGATTCCATCCCTCTTCCAAAGAAGACAGGCTGGTTGGTACATTTACATTTAGCCCCAGGCAGCTTTAAGAAGAGGAGAGAACTGAGTTGGCGACAGTACTTCATTTTGGGACCTTGCATATTTATTGTTCTGGTATTTAACATAAAGCATTTTCTCTATGCAATATGAAATAAGGTCAGAATCCTTGATTTTATTTCTTCTCCCTCACATGCATTTTTCAAAGTAATTATCTGTAAGCCTATTTCAGAGAAATACTAGGGTATACCCAAATGATTTCCCAGTTAAATGAGCCCAGAGTAAAGGTAGTAGCTAGTCAATGTAGCTGTCTCAACACATGATCCCTTGAGAAACCAGGTCCTCACGGTGATTTGGGAGCAGTTGCTCATGTGGTGCTGTTTCGCAGGTTTTAGTTATTCCTTCTTCATTCAATTCTATGATCCTCTGGAGAAATTTAAATTATTCTCTAAACCACACATGCTATTTCTGCATAAATGGTTGTTCAATATGAAAAAAAGGCTTTTGTGTATTTGTGTGTGTCAAACTAATATTCCAATTTGCAGCTGTATTACCTTTGAATTGCCTAACTGGGAACATTTCTGATTATCAGTGTGAATTTAGTTTTCTACAAAAATAGCATTAAGTCATCTACTTAAAATGTTGGCCTGAATTTATCATATAAGTTGTGTAACACGCATCTTAAAATATCTAACATGCCACTCACCCAAATTTTAGGTTTATTATTGTTCATAATTATTGTCAATTGATTGTAGACATAAAACTTTTTGTTGTTGTTAACCCTCACTCAAAGATACTTTTCCATTGATTTTTAGAGAGAATGGAAGGAAGAGGGAGAGACAGAGAAATATTGATGTTACAGAGATATATCAATTGGTTGCCTCCCACACACACCTCAGGGACATGGAGATCGAGGCTGCAACCGAAATATGTGCCCTTGACCAGAATTGGATCTGGGGTCCTTCAGTTTGTGGGCTAACACTCCAACTACTGCCCCAAACCGGCTAGAGCAACATAAAACATTTTTAAATACTTTGGAGGAGCAGGCAGGAAAAAGAAATTGGCTAATGGCTTTGAAAGGATGAGTGGGAATACACAGAATGTTGTTGTGTGTTGAGTTACCTCTCTGGAGCCAGGGAAGGTCTGCAATGATCCACTAAAAGACCTCTAAACTGTTACACAAAATAGAGAGAAAGTGTGGTCGGAGGAAGCATCAAAGGTGGGATTATCTTAGGTGGAACCATACACTTTGAACTTCAAAACAGGAGTGACAGCTTATTCTTTCACTGAAAAATCTGATTTTACAAGTATTGAGCCCCAACATGGGTACACCATAGAGTGCCTATAATTTTTACCTTTACTTTCCATTTTGGGGAAATATTCCAGGTTTTGTGAAAAATTCCATTCAAATACACTCTTTGGACAAAAATATTTATTGAATGAATATATGAATGTTACTTTCTTGGTAGGCAATCCTCCTGTTTTATTTCCTAGAAGATCAGAAAAACAAATGAAGAAGAAACAATTAAAACATATTATAACATATGAGCACTTCCCCTTTAACTTTCCTTCCTCTTTAGGAAGGAATCATATTAAAGATATGATTTTGTTATGACATTTGTATCAAAAATCAAGAAGGAACGACATGGTATAATACAAAAGCCCAGCAAATACATTCTGTTTGGATTCACACCCTTGTGTAACTTGGGCAAGTTCACATACAACATGGAAGCAATTTTTAACTTTTGGAGTTAGTGGGAGTATCAAGTGAGATACTGTCTGTTAATTTCCTATCATAGTATTGGCACACAGAAACCTTCAAATAATAATAGTCCTTTTGCTCTTAAATATCGTGTTTCTTTTATGGTTTTAAGACGTATCTCACTTTCATATTTCCATAGATGCAGCCTTCTGCCCATGCGGAGAATGAGAAGACCTGGCAAGAGATATCAGATGAGATCAAAAAGATATTTAAGGCTTCTGTGAAACTGTTGCACGAGCAGGGGAAAATGAAGCACAGCCAAGCTAAGAGGTACCTGTTCTCAGGTAATTTTTGTAGGTCCTCAGTGCACTAAGGAATAGATAGATAATAGATGCATTCACTGCTTCTCTTTCATGGTTTGGCAAATTAAATTTTACTCACTACCTGGCAATGTTTAATTTTCCTAAATGTCTCCATCTCCTGGAGAGACAAATGTTCTTTTGTTTTATTAACTCATCGATAAGCCTTTACTTCACTTGAGGACTTCTCCAGAAAATGTACTTTTTGAAAGAAGTCATAGCACGCTGGATATAATAGACCAGACCCAGCCAGTTAAACTGTTCATTCATTCATTCATTCATTCATTTATTCACTTGCCCATCCAGTAAGCATTCATTGAGTGTATACTATATTCCAGGCACCAGGGATACAATCATGAATAGAAGGCAAGGTCTCTGCTCTCCCAGAACTTATTTTTTTAGTGTGTTTGTGGGGGGGAGAGGGAGAGGAAATAAAGATAGGCAAGTAATTGAATAAATGAACGAGATCATTTCAGAAAGGATAAGTGATGTGTTTAAAACATAATAGTAATAGGCTAATAGGGCCTGGTGTAGGATGAGTGGGTCCAGATGTAGATGGAGTGGGAAATAAGGAAATGATGTTTAAGCTGAATGACAGAAGGAATCAGAGCCAACAGTGTAGCATTTATTTTGAAAGTCGATAGTAAAGAATTACTGAAGAAAAAGCAACCGTAGTTGCATTTTCAGATAGGTTTAGAGAATGGTAGCAAAGCATTTGTGAAAAACCTAAACAGCACTTGATACTATTCTCCCTGGATACATGGATTCCAGCTCAGAGAAATTATAAATAATTCTGACCAAGTCATTCTCTGCAAGCTGTCAAAAATGTTAAATCTTCCTGAAAACACAAAAATTGGCAGGAATGAGGGGTGTCTTCCGAATACACAGATGATGAACAAACATCCCTGTTCCTTTGGGATCTTGTTGATCCATATTTGAGGCTCTGGATGTCATCTTTATCAAAGGAAAAGCCGCCCTGTTTTAAATTCATGCTGTGTTAGGAAAAATAATGCCCACAGCAAAAGCTCTCCTGTTCTTGACAAGAAACATCAGTTTGGGGAAGGCATCCTCTCTTCAGAATCGTACAGCTCAAGGGTTCGGATATTTCATTACCAGACACTTTCTTCTCATTTTCTCCACACCATAAAACTCTGTTCACAAAGATATTTAGGAAGATAAGTAATTTCATACTATGTAGTACAAACTACTATAAGTCGTCTGTTTTCTTAGGGTTACATTGCTTACAGATATACATGCTCAGAACAGTTTTATTTATTTATTGTACATTTCAAACTCATTTGAAGACAATGAAAATTGCTAGAGAAGGACCCACTCTTTGAAATGGATGTACAGATAACCCTTGAACAATGAGTGGGTTAGGGGTGCCAACCCCCTATGCAGTCAAATATCCACACATACTCTGACACCCCCAAATTTAAATACTGATAGCCTACTGTTGCCTGGAAGCTTTACCAATAACATAAACACTCAACTAACACATATTTTGTATATGTATTATATACTGTATTCTCACACAAAAATTAATCTAGAGAAAAAAAATACTAATAAAATCATAAGGATGAGAAAATACATTTACAGTACTGTACATATTTACTGAAAAAATTCCATATATAAGTGGTTCTGCATAGCTCAAACCCATGTTGTTCAAGGGTCAACTGTAGTATCTATCTATATATAAAAACCTTAGTGACCATTACAACCGAACGACCAGAACAACAGGTCAACCAGTCACTATAACGCACACTGACCATCAGGGGACATACACTCAATGCAGGAGCTGTCCCCGGTGGTCAGTGCGCTCCCACAGCCAACCTCCCACTGCTGGCCAACCTCTGAGGCCCCTGGCCAACCTCCGAGGCCTGCCCCTGTCAGCCCCAATCACCCTGATCAGAACCTCCCACAAACCCTTCCCCCTATCCCTTGCTGGCTGGTTAACCTCCAGCCTCCCGGGGTCCCTACTTCCACCCCCTGATGGCTGGCCCCGATGGCCCCAATTGGGACTGGGCAAGATGCCCCGATCTGCCCTAATCACTGACTAGGCCAAGGGACCCCACCCATGCAAAAATTCATGCACTGGGGCTCTAGTATTTTATATTTTCAAAAATCTTAAAACTATGAATACTAACTAGAATCTGGAAAGCTTTACATTTTTATATAACAGGAGAGAAAAAGAATAAAGACTTCAAAATGGTACTCTACAGTCAAAACTGAGGGGAGAGTACAGAGATTAATGCCTCATGAATGCTAGTTACCAGGGCTGGGACTATCCTCCTAATGTGTCCTGTATCAGGTGCTGTGACTGGTTCAATTTTTGGATATTAAGAAAAATGCAAGGAGAGAAAACAAATACTGCATAGTAAAGAAAGGGGATGTTTATAATACTTATAGACAAGTAAATATCAGAAATTACTCATAAAATCCCCTGAAATCATGATGATGCACTTTGCTTCTAAAAATAACTCTGGAATTGACTTCATCTTTGATGGCTCTTTTATTCAGGTTTATACTGAGTGGTCAGATTATTATGATCTCTGAATGCGTAATAATCTGGCCACTCAGTGTATTTATTAGGTTTAGACCATCAACCAGGCACTCTTACGTACAGTCTGTCTTTTTCCCTCTGAGCCCAGCTTACGTGGGCTTTACCAACTTGCTTTGTCTGTATATCTTTCTATGCTGCATTTATTATCAACAGTCCTGACTTCTCATATTTGTATTTTCAAGATTTCTGAAAATATACAATATACTACAGTTGACCCTGGAATATACTCTTATCCATAGAGTGATACCCGTCAGTTAGGTTACAGTTGACTTGTTCTCAGGAGTCAGAGGAAGCAGGGCATGTCCTGATTATCATTCATTATGTATAGAGATTGTGGTTTGGCCACTTGTCTCTCTTCATAAGAACGCAGCACCCTGGCAATCCAGCGTGGTCCCTGGCATTTTACACAGATGCCTGGAAAGGATGTGGGCCAAAGGAGCTCTGAAAGTCAAGATTTCTTGAATCTTTCCTAGTCTGCATTATCAGGAGTCCCTGCTCTTCATAAAAAGAAGACTAGACTGGCCTCCTTAATCAAGTTGTCTGATTAAAACCCTTAGAAAAACATGCTGATGCAAATGACACAGCTCACTCAACACTGGCTATAAATATATCTTCTTACAAATACGTCTTCTTAAGTCAAAAATTTTGATCAATCACTATCATCCCTGAAGAAATAATATTACAAGAGTCCCAGTAAAAGGCATCATTTTAAAATAAAATCTCCACATTCCTTAATATAAAAAAGACTATTTTTTTATATTATAAAAATTTATAATTGATCTTTTTGGATGTCACTGTATAGAATACAAGTATGTTTTAGGTTTCACTTGATGTTGGAGCTGTGGACAGCACATGGCAATGTTTTCCTCTTGTGACCAGCCCTGTGTATTCTGAGCACCACCCGCTCACCCCATGCTCCCATCAGACTCCACCTCAGTACTTAGCTCCAAGTGGATTAGAGTCACCCTCCTCCCTACCCCCGATTGTTTTCTGTCCCTGCACCATGTTATTCTCCTTCCTGGGACTGAAACCATCATAATACATCTATTAGAGTGCTCTGTGATTTGTGTCTGCCATCCTCCCCTGGACTGAGAGCTCCATAAAGGTTTTTTCTCTCACCATTGTCTATTTTCTCTCCATTGCATCCTGAGCAACCAGCAGCCTGCCTGGAACATAGTAGGTGCTCTATAAGACCAACTGGATGAAGGATACCAAAGGGGGGGGGGAGAGAGAAAAAAGAAGGAAGTGAAGGCAGATGGGCGGTTTAAAAAGACTGCATGCCTTAAAATTCATTTTATTTTATTCATTTTTATTTTTCTTCCCTAAAATAATGCACAAGTGACGTTTTTCTTATGACGGATCTAATTTTAAATGTTCCTGGGGAGGCTGGAGTGATTTATAATGTATATTTACATTTATGTAAGCATGTGTTCTTAAAGTTAGCTTAGAAGAAATAAAGTTACATACTAAGTCATTTTTCTATATCTGACCTGATAGATATAAGGTGATTTAACCTGATAGGCATGGATAATTCAGATTGATCAATAATCAGAACAGGATTGTAGTTTAAACATGTTTTTTTATATTGATATTTAACCATAACTGTTTGGGATACAATGCACCTCAAACAAAACAATGAAGCTGCATGTAAAGGGGAGACTGACCAGGAAGCAGGAAACTGGATCTGTCATTTGGCTTCTTCCTCATTTTTTCCTGGTCCCAGTGGATCCCTGTTCACTCTTAGACCCCTGAGGTCTGAAAGAAAAGCTCAGTAAGGAATAACCTAAATATAAACTTGGTATGCTTTCTTTCTTATGTTTATGTTCAACCTCTCTTTGCTACTGCGGAGAGAAAGAAAGAATTGTTTTTAAAACCCTTTGTTCTGGGTTCCAGGCTGTGTGGGAAACACAAATAGGAAATGAAGGAGTGAAGAAATGATTCTATAGAATAATCTACCTCTAGGCCTGGAGAGTGAAGAGCTGGGCTGACAGTCTCTTGCTTCTTTGTTTCTGCAATAAGCTGATTTTGTTTGCTTTCAGCTATAGAGGATGAGTTTGACTTCGCTCTAGGCAAGCAGACTCCTGCCTTCCTGAAGAAGTGCGTCTGCTACATTAGGAAAATTGCTAACATTGAGCGATTCGTGAAGATCCCAGAGATGGGGAAATACATGGATATCACTGGGACAGACCCCAGGATCATCCGGGATCCAGAGGCCCAGGAGAAGCTTATCAAACTCAGGGATGAATTTATTCCTACTATTGTTGCGTCCTCTAATCTCAGAGTATACACGTCGGTTACCCATTGTGACATGAAACTCGGCTACTCCCAGGAAATAGAAAACCACTACATAGAAGGCCTGGGCAAACAATTTTACGAGGACATGATCGACATAATTCAGGCGACGGTGCAGCAGAACTTTGACACGGAGACTGATACACTCTACGACGAAATCCTCCAGCATTCTTCGCTCTGTAAAACGTATGCCTCTTTCTACGAGTACAAGTGCGAATCCCTAACCAGAGTCCATAAATACATCCTCCCGAGCAAAACCGGGCACATCAGCCCGCTTGTTGTATATGGTGGACCATGCACGGGGAAGACGCTCCTGCTAGCCGAGGTGGCGAAGAAGGTAAAAGCCTATTCTTTTACGTGCGTGTTCATAAAAAAAATCTTACTTTTGGGAAACGTTAAATTGACCATATTCATTTCCATCTTCTGTGTTTACTATCTGTGTTTTTTATCTGGGTTATAATTAATCTTTTTGGATGGCATGTCGATGTTTCCCTTTTGCTGGTCTAACAGGTGAACTGGAAGAGGAAGACTCATGGGTGCGATTACAGGGCAGCCTGATGTTTTTCCCCCGCTGTTCAGGCTCATGCTGTGGGGCTGGCTTCCACTGGAATGGAAACTAGCGCTCACCTCACAGCTCTCCTCACCCCTCAGCAGAGACATACCCTCCAGCTGCTTCTGGACATGAAATCAGTCTCCATTCCGCAATGAGTATTTCCAGTCTAAGATGATAATTAAATTTTCAGTCTACGTTTCTCTCCCCCAGCTGAGGCTTACCATAAGCAAAGTATCTACAGTGGTAGGCAGGGGTGTGGCCATCTTTTCTTTCTTTAAAAAAATATATACATTTATATTGATTTTCAGAGAAGGTGGGTGGGGAGAGGACGAACCAACTGAACCACACCTGCCAGGGCTCCTTTCTTTCCCCACACAGCACTTCTTCCCCTCCTTCCCTAATACCAGACCCAACTACCTTTATGACCCCTACAGGGTTGCGGCAGGTGTTGAGAGCTGCTTCCTGCCTCTTCTGAGGCCTTCTCTTGGCTTCCTGGAGGCCCTACCCTCCCACGACCCTTGTCCTGGCTAAGCATCTCTCAGAGAAATGTTTTCCTACCTTGTCACTTCCTTGGCTCCTAGATAGTCAACAATACACTTATATACAGTATCTTTCTACAAAGATCCTCTCCATAGCCCAGCAAACGAGAGAGAGAGAGAGAGAGAGAGAGAGAGAGAGAGAGAGAGAGAGAGAGAGAGAGAGAGAGAGAGAGAGAGAGAGAGAGAGAGAGAGAGAGAGAGAGAGAGAGAGAGAGAGAGAGAGACTAGAATGAAAGTCAAATTAACTTCTCCAACTTTGTCTGCTGATAACCATTTAAATTCAAGCAAGTCATTTCTCCAGCCTCGACCTCAGTTGAGAATGATGAGTTCCTGTTTATAAAGTAAACTATTATAAAACATAAATATAGCAAAACCCTTTTAACCAGATTTTCATGATAAATTATAATCATGATGACCCTATCACATCACAACATAGTAAAATGTCTCTAAAGCATAAAAAATTATATTTAGTGTCATTTTAGTACCATTTTTAAAATATATTGATTATTGATTTTTTATTTTTTTTTTTTACAAAGAGGAAGGTAGAGGGATAAAAAGTTAGAAACATCGATGAGAGAGAGACATCGATCAGCTGCCTCCTGCACACCCCCACTGGGGATGTGCCTGCAAACAAGGTACATGCTCTTGATTGGAATGGAATCTGGGACCCTTGAGTCTGCAGGCCAGTGCTCTATCCACTGAGCCAAACCGGTTAGGGCAGTACTATTTTTTTATTGCAATTTAATTAACTGGAAATTTGTTAGCCATATATGATATTATGTGATCTAATTAATGAAAAGATTTTATGTGATATAGCATAAATTATTGTGTAAGCTACTCGTTAAACACTTTACTAGGTATCTACTATGCGCCAACAACTTTGCCCAGAAAAGGGGATTCACATTTTTAAATGTCATGACCATACTAGATATTCAGATTTACTGTTTATGAACCACATTGTAACTTTTAGATTACAAGCTGAATGTTGCCTTTGGTTGAAATATTACGACTCACTATTTTATTACTTTCAGATGAGTGATCCTGAGAGACTCACCTATAGATTTTAGGGCATGAGCTTTGTGACAACTCTTTGGCCTTCTCAGAAGGTTCTCCCATTTCCTGGTCCTAGGTGACTTTCTGCATGGCCCGGGGTTCCCAGAAGTCTGACCGCTCGCGAGAAGAGATGTTGCAGTACATGAGCACGTGACTATGTATTACCATGCTAAACGCCACCTTTATGTTTTAGGCATATGGCTGGCTACAGGAACACGCAGGACCAGAATCAGACCCAGTAACAGTCGTACGATTCCTAGGAAGCACAGACATGAGTACTGACCTCAGAACGCTCCTCCTGAGTGTTTGCGAACAGCTGGCAGTGAACTACCGGTGTCTGGTTCAAAACTACCCTAAGAAGATTCATGACCTCTGTGACTTATTCATAAACCTCTTGAATGAGTCTTCCCAGCAGAGGCCTCTGGTAATAATATTTGACGCCCTAGAGCAGCTCTCAGAGAGCGACGAGGCCAGGAAGCTGTGGTGGCTCCCTGCTCACCTTCCCCGCTTCGTGCGGGTGGTCCTCTCCACACTGCCCAACAAACACGGGATCCTGCAGAAACTAAGGTGCCTTATCCATGAGGAAAACAACTACATCGAGTTGATTCCCCGGGACAGGAAGATGTGCAGCCAGGTGCTCAAGCACCAGCTGCTGCGAGTCAAAAGGAAGGTCACCTCAGGCCAGCAGATTTACGTGAACAACGCGTTCTCCAAGTGCACGCTGCCCATGTTCGTGAACCTGACCTTCCGGGAGGTGAGGCACTGGAGGTCTCACAAAGATGTCGACGAATCCTCCCTCTGCGTCACCGTTCACGAGAGCATAGAGCAGCTCTTCTGGTCCTTGGAGAGGAAGTGTGGTCCGAAGCTGGTCTCCAGGGCTCTCGGTTATATCACCATGGCCAAGATGGGTCTGAGCGAGATGGAACTGGAGGATGTGCTGGCCCTGGACAACAGCGTCATGAACGAGCTCAATGAGCACACCAGGCCCAGCAACCCCCTGAGAGTCCCTTACCTGTACATCGCGAGGCTCAAGGAGGGTCTCAGCGGATACCTCATAGAAAGGCACGTGAAGAACGTCACGCTCCTGGTGTGGGCCAACAGGCACCTGCAGCTCATAGCCCAGAAGCTGTACCTGAAGGAAGACAGTCATCTGCACGAGATGCACACCATCCTGGCGGACTATTTCCTGGGGGTGTGGTCGGGGGGCAGGCGGAAAGCCTTTTGCCTCGAAGACCCCTACTTGAACGGCTGCCTGGACTTGGAGAGCAGAAGCCTGCTGGAGGAAGAAAAGCACTTCATGGAGCAGGCTTCGTTCGACAGGCAGGCCCCGGAGCAGCCCTGGGTTTTCCAGTGCAACCCCCTGGAGCCCGACATCTTCTTCGTCAACCACCGGAAGATGTCCGAGCTCTTGTACCACCTGACCAGGTGCGGGAAGACCGATGACCTGCTGTACGGCATCATCATGAACTTCAGCTGGCTGTACACCATGATCAAAATCGGCCAGTTCGACAAAGTGCTCGCGGACATTGAGCTGGCTTACAACTACTCGCAGGAGAAGGAGATGAAGTTCCTGGCCAACACCCTCCGCAGCCTCCGGAGCAAGGTCATTGCCTTCCCCGGCTCCCTTTCGGCAGAGCTCCAGCAACGGCTGCTGCCGGTCCTCAGCTCCCTGCCCAAGCTGAGACACCTCCTCCTGGAATGTGACAAGGACGGGCCCAAATACTGCTCCATCGTGCCGCTCCATTCCTCCATGGACGTGACCTACAGCCCCGAGCGTCTCCCCTTGGCGGCCAGTCACCTGCACGTCACCGAGATCCTGCCTACTTGCAACCCCAGGACTGTCCTCACGGCTCTGGAGAGCGGCTCCATCAGCACCTGGGATGTGGAGACGCGCCAGCTTCTCAGGCAAATCACCACGGCCCAGTCCGTCATCCTGGGCATGAAACTCAGCGGCGACGAGAAGTACCTGGTGGTGGCCACGACCAATAACACCTTGTTGATTTATGACAACGTCAATTCCTGCCTCCTGTCCGAAGTGGAGATCAAGGGGACCAAGCATGGCAGCGGCTCCACCTACATCAATGGGTTCACGCTGTCCGTCAGCCACGCCCTGGCGTGGCTGGAGGCCAGCAAAGACGTCACCGTCATCGACCTGCTCTACGGCTGGCCCCTCTACCAGTTCCACTGCTGGTACGAAGTGACGTGTGTCCGGTGCTCCCTGGACGGGACGTACGCGTTCTGCGGGCAGTACCTGAACACCACCACCATCTTTCACCTGGGGAGCGGAGAGAAGCTATGCACCGTGACGTCCGAGTTTTCGGGCGGCTTCGTGAAGTTCCTCCTCATCTTGGACACGGCCCAGGAAATGGTCATGGTGGACAGCGAGGGGAGCCTTTCCGTCTGGAACACCGAGGACATCTCCAGCCCCCAGCTGACCGACGACTTCGACTGCCGCCGGGAAGACAGCGAGGTGGTCAGCCTCGAGCTGTCGGAGGACCAGAGCGCGGTCCTGATCTGCAAAGCCCTCGGCATCGAGCTCCTGGACACGGGCCTGTGGAAGGTGGCGGAGAAGTTCCGGGCGAAGCACAACGAGCGCTTCGTGTCGGCCGTGCTGTCCAAGAACGGGGACTGCATCATCGCCACCATGGAGAGCACCCCGGCCGTGTTCTTCTGGCGGCGGGACACGGGCCAGTGCATGGCGAGCCTCCAGGAGGTCTCGGGCACCATCGTGAAGCTGGTGAAGTCCAGCCACCACAACATGCTGCTCTCCCTGTCCGCCAGCGGCGTGCTGTCCATCTGGGACGTGGACATCATCACGGCCATGTCCAACATCGACAAGACCGGGAAGCCCATCCAGAGCCTGATGCTGCCCGCCAGAGGGGAGATCATCTATTCCCTCGACGGCTCGGACTGCGTGCACAAGTGGAACTTCAGCAGCGGGTTCATCGAGGCGGCGTTCAAGCACGAGGGCGTGGTGGAGCACTGCGTGCTGACGTCCTCGGGGGACGTGATGGTGACCTCGGACGACAAGAGCAGCCAGTACGTGTGGCACACGGGCAGCGGGGAGAACCTCTTCCGGATCAGCGGGCAGCGGATATCGCAGCTGCTCATCACGCACAACGACCAGTTCGTGGTGTCCCTGTGCGAGGAGAACGCCTCCCGGGTGTGGCGGCTGGCCACGGGCCACCGGGTCTGCAACATCCTCACGCCGCTGTGGGACGCCTTCATCACGCCCGCCAACACCTTCGTGGTGGGCATGACCCAGAGCAAGGTGCTGGCCGTCAGCCTGTGGACGGGGAGCATCACCAAGAAGTTCTGCTGCGAGGACGGCACCACCGTCGTGAGTGTCAAGCTGATCCCCGACTGCCCCGACCTCATCGTGTTCGTCACGTCGGCCGAGACGGTGAACCTGTGGAGCCTGACGGACGAGGTCATCTGCCGCCGCGTGCAGCTCCCCGGCGGCTTCCTGAAAACCCTGGAGGACTTCGAGGTCTCCCCCAACGGCAAGCTGGGCATCCTCTCCCGGGGAGACGAGAACATCAATGTGCTGGACCTGCACAGCGGCAAGCTGCGGGTGGTGCACGCCTCCGGGGTCATCTGGCGGCAACGGCTGTCCCGGGACGGCCGCTACCTGGTGTACATTTGCTGCCAGGGAGGGGAAGACCAGGACGAGAACGGCACCATGTCCAGCCTGATCGTCATGAGGCTGGCCGACGGCAAGAACATCGGCGCCTGCTCCCTGTACAAAGCGCCCACCTTCCTGGCCCTGTCCCAGCGGCACCTGCACATCGTGGTGGGCTTCGACGACGGGAGCATAGGGATCTACACGGTGGTGGACCGCGTGGACGCCGCCCTGAAGATCAAGATCGCCACGTCCAACAGCAGGCAGATATTCAGCAACGCGGCGACGCAGACCTCCAGGGCCAAGTGCAGCAGCTACTGCTTCAAGGCGTCGGTGGACTGCCTGTGGAGGGAGTCCACTGAGGTGTTTGCGAGGGACAGCCCCATCACGGTGAGCGAGCCCGCCGAGCCCAACGAGGCCACGCCCTCCAAGAAACACAATTCTTGCTACGACCGGGTGTGCGCTGCCCTGGAGTCCAGGGGCCACAGCTACGGCCCTGACAACTGATGGAAAGGATTTCCCTGCTCCTCAGAGACACACAAAAGAGCACAAAAGAGCGGTGGGCGGAGCATCTCCTGTATCAAAAGTGATCAAGGACTCATTTTCTTAACAGACGGAGTCCCAGGGTGACTGATTCCCATGATCCTGAAAGGTACAGAAACGGGAAATCGGTTTTTGGGGTTTGTTCTTTCTGTCAAGTTTACCCAGGATTGGAAGTCCTGAGACTTTCCTAGAGCATTTGTAGACATCGTATTTCAATGACGACATCCCCTGGGGAGAGAAAGGTGGTTTTTAAAACGGTGGGGAAAGAAGCAACGTAACTCAGACCATGGGTCCAGCTGAGAGAGGCTGGAGATCAGTCGGACTGGCACCAGTTGTATAGAAATCGGATGCCATCGCAAAACACACAGGGCTGTTTGACTTCAGGCGATTTGTGCGGCCATCGGTACACACAGCCTTAATCTCTCCTTGCATTTTACAATCCTGACAACTGTGTAAACCCAGCCTGCAGAAGGAAGGCCCACCAGTGCCAAATCGTGTATCGAAAATGCCCAGACGGACTCCCAGTTTCCCAAGAGAAAGGATGTGCAAGGTGAGGCCACGGACTGGACTGGGACGAGAGCTACCTGCCATGGTCATAGGGCTATCGAACCCGCAGAGTCGGCCTTCGTGAACATACAGTGGCGACAACTGTATGCCAAGGTTTCTGTATCACGGGACATACCGTGTTTGAAGCTATTTCCTGAGCTGCAAAAGAACATATTCACTAAGAAACCATAATCTTTCGTGTCTTTTTGCAATGCCTACGTGTGCTGGGTGCAGAGATTTTCAGGAAGGGCATTACAGATTTGGTCCAAAAACTGTTCGTTCCTATCATCGTACTAACAGAAGTCTGTGCTGTTCCGTCAGTTGTATGGAAGCATATGTTATTTCCTAAATCCCTGAAGTACATCTCAACAGAAGGAATGTTTTCTTGACACGCCATCTATGAAACACTGACGACATCTGCCTTACTCTTCCTCCTCCTCTTTCCTTGGAAAACCCAGAGAGGTGACTGAATATTCTGGGACAAAAGGAAGATGCCTGTCTTTGTGCTAAACTATCCCATACATCTTCGGGGTGTCCCAAGGCTCTTTATTGTCCCTGTTTGTAATCACTTTCTTACTTCTCTACACTCTATGTGTTTGCTTCTTTATCTGTCTCCCTTTCCGCTCGAGGACTCTTCAGAGACTTTTCTAGATGTATTCACTCTCTCTTTAAAAAAAAAAAAAAAAAAAAAAAAAAAAAAAAAAAAAAAAAAAAAAACTACGTCACCTATTTAAAAGAAAACATTACATCCCAAAAGGGGAAAGTGATTTTCTTCACGTGGCATGTCCGTGGATAACTTTCCAAAGGGGGTCAGGGAAGGTGGCTTGGTTTTGTTTGAAAGGGGCAGCTGTGAGTTGAGTAGACAGAATAACGATCAAGGATCTGACTCGCCTTTGGTCCCGCACTGCCATATGAACTCATCACATGTCCGTAGACAGATCTTTCACCTCCCTGCTGTACTGTTTTTGTAAAGTGTAAAATAAAGATCATGGTAGCATCGGCGATAGCCCTCACAGAGATGTAGGGGAGTAATGTAAGAAAAAAATATAGTGACACCTTGATTGTTGGAAAGAGATGTTATTCAGAGAGGAAGACACAATCCACAGTGGAAGACTTTTGTCAGGAAGCCCCTCCTGGTCTAGCTACCAGCCAGGGCGGTGGTACCCAGAGAAGGCCCAGCCCAGGTGCAGATCACCTGGAATTTACTGTAGGAGGCGATGCTTTTTTTTTTTTTTAGCACTTCAGAGGCAACACATCTTATTCCTGTCATTCTCCGTTGGACTCTATGCCACACATTTCTAAGAATTAAATGCCTAGATGGATTATCTGTAGTGTGTGAATGTTCCATGTAACAGCCAATAGAGTTTAACAAGTGACTTGAATGATTTTTTTTCCTAACTTGTTTGCACACTGATAGCTCATATTGAATGTTTTTATGTAAACTTTGTATTGTTGGGAAGAATTACCCAATCAGAGATTTATATTTTCATAAATGTTACATTTAGTTAAATTTTGTTACAGAGTTGTTACACTAGAAAATTATTGCAGTCTTCAAACAATATACAGTCTTGTGTATGTACTGTTTGTATGAATAAAAGATAAACTATGTAAATTTGTGTGGCATTTGTTTTTCTCCCAACTTGGGCAGATGTCGTTAGTGTTCATAATAATAATAATTATTCATGCTTACTATATACCAGACACTATTTTTGGAAATAATCACCTGATTATTTCCTAGTTATCACCATTTAAGCCCTCCATTGCTGCCCTGTTTTAAAAAACTGTGTGTGTGTGTGTGTGTGTGTGTGTGTGTGTGTGTGTTTCTCAGATCTAATGTATCGTAATGTAAATATCTGTGTTTTCCGATGATCTTAGGCGACCCTGTTAGTGATTCTCATGAGGAATCATGAAAAAAAACACATTTAGTCTTATACTTTCTCAGATCATTGCAATAGTCTCTGTATTGGTTTCATCCATCTCTACTCCACCTGACACAGACTGCCTGAGTCATTCTAAAATACCATGCCGATCAGTCCATTCTCCTAAATGATTCCTTTTTAACTACTGAATAAAGTCTGAAATCCCAACATAGCATTTGAATTTATCCAAAATAATCGACTGTTTTTGCTCCTACAGCTTCCTTCACCTGAAATGTCCTTCTGACATTCTGACAGCTCAGTCCTAGTTATTGATCAAGCCTCAGCTCTCTGTCTTCATCTCTTGGCCATTCCTTTTGATGCCTAGAGTTCAATGCTCCTCTATAGTGTATTTTCTGCACTTGGCTTTCACTTTTATTAATAACTTTATATCACAGTCTGTCTTTAAAAAATATTTTTAATTGACTTTTAGAGAGATAAAGGGAGAGGGAGAGAGAAACATTGATGTGAGAGCAACATGGACCGACTTCCTCCTGTACACCCCTACCAGCGACTGAACCCACAAATGCCTCATATAGTGCCTTTTTGTTACAATGTAAGCCAATACCACACTTAAAATGTTTGTCCTTTTTTTTTTAGAACTATATTGACAAATCTATTCAAATTAGCTTCCCTATCTTCCATGACTCATCAGTTGGAAATAGTTTATGTGCCGATGAAAACGCAAACACATTTAAAAAACTAAGTGAATTACGGTGTTTTCAGTTCCACATGCTTCAAGAAACCATAGGTTTCTCTTCTGTATTTTGCACAGGGACCCCTCAGGTCCATGTGATCCTCAGGAAGAACAGATCCCACTTTATATAGACACATCAGAGGGTGGGCTCTCAGTGTATCAACCTGACAAATTATGGAGCTCTGGTATGTGAGGTTAACAAAACGCCACCCCCTCTGCCATGCCAGAATCCCAGCCTTTACTACATGGAAGTAACTAAACCAGCCGCTTGAGCAGATTAAGAGCCGTGATCTGAAAACTGGACTATACATCACCCCCCATATCCCTCACTGTTTCTGAATCTATGTGTCTGGGGGTGGGACCCAAGAATTTGCATTTTGACTAACTTCCCCCTTTGTGCTAGTCTTGGAACCACACTTTAAAACCTAAAATAAATACCAAAGTCTTTATGGCCAGAATCACCTAACTGGTAAATGTACCGATATCCTGTGGACTTTACTAAAACATCAGCTAGAAGTTGGGCATGAGGTTCCTTTATTGTGACAGAGGGTTTTTACCCGAAGATTATGTAAAACAGAGAATAACTTCCCTCATATATCTGTCCCTTTAAAGCATGCAGCCACTACACGACTGCGAGGATTCAGAAAATGAGTTTTACTCCATAAAGGCCGCCATGTACACGACGTGGAAACATTGAGAACTAGGGGCTGTGGGTACAGTCTTCTCCGCTGGCTTCTCCAGCATCCTGTTGCATCCCGGGACGAGTTGCAGGGGAGAGAGAAAGAGGGTGAGCTAGGTGGCGCAGTTGCTCAAAACATGTTACTTTAGGAGCGCAGGTGGAAAGAATGTCCCCTACGTAAGTGATAATATTTTAGGGTAAAACAATCAATTCTTCACCCGCCTTAGGTGCGCGCGGATTACAACAAGCACAGGCGGGGAGCTCAGCAGGTGGGACGAAGCGTTGCAGCCGAGGTTCCCGCCCCGGGACAAGAGAGAGAAGGTAGGGGCGGGGAGCGTGATTCCCTGGAGCTCCCACTGTCTGTGGTCTAGACACGGCGAGCGCCTGCAGCTTCCCCGGGAATTAGCAAACCATCCATGTCACCGAGGCAGGCGGCCGTGCAGAACGGCGGAGATTACTGAAACACACGGGGGTGAGGGGTATAGAGTAAGGTGACCGGGCGTCCCGCTTTGGGCGGGACAGTCCCGATTTTCAACAATGTGTCCCCCGTCCCGCAGCGTTTTAAAAAAAAGTCCCTATTTTTAAAAAATCTGGTCACTTTAGTATAGATCTATTGGGGCCAGGAGGTGCATGCATTTGTCTCCCCACTTCCGTCCCGGACCCTGGGAAGCTCCCCTCTCCCGACAGCAGAACAGAAAAAGTTTCCAGCTGGGGCTGGGGGCTGGCGTGCACCCCGGCGCGGGTGCTCGGAGGCGGAGCGCCAGCACTCTTTGCTTCGGAGGCGGGCGCCGGCTGCGGGGCGGGAGGGGGTCGGAGTTGGACACCCGGGCCCGCGCGCGCCCGGGTGCAGCCAGGGCACCTCGGGGGGAGCCCCGCGGCACGGGGCGCGCAGGTAAAGGGTTACGCGGGCCGGGGAGGGAGGCTCGCCCCGGGCGGCCACGTGATGCTCCGGCCCAATGACCGCGCCGGGGCGGCCGCTGCGGGCGCCGCGGGCTCCGGGCGCCGCGGAGCCGCCGGTGTCTCCCCGCGCGGCCGCCCGAGGCGCGCGGAGCCATGGGCGCCGGGACCCCGCCGCCGCCGCCGCCGCAGGTAGGACCGTCCCCGCCCGCGGGGAGGGCAGGGCTCC